GGTCATCCATTTGAGAGTGAGGGGTCAGGAAGGAGTGAGGGCCCATTACAAAGGGCAGGTCACAGAGATGCAGTGGGCAGGGTGGGAAGGGAGGGAGGAGTGAGCGACGGGTGGGGAGAGGCCTGGCAGGCAGATGGGAGCGGAGGGCTCAGGGGCACAGGGAGGGGAGGGGAGGGGAGGGGAGAGCGAAGCCACTCTGGGGTCAAAGGCCCCCAGAAGCAGGTGGTGCAGGGGCTGGGTTTGAAGGTGGGCGTCCTGGGACTTGGCCTGTGGTGGGGCTGGGAGTGAAGCCAGGTGGGAGCAGCGTCCACAGGGAACCAGCCGGGGGTGAGGAAGGATCACCCTTGAGCTTTTGTTCTCAGAATTGGGAAAACAAAGTTGCGATTTAGAGAAAATTTCCAGTTATTTGGAGGAAAGCAGTGATAGTGAGGGGTCTGGCCAGGGCTCACAAAATGGAGATATGGTTTGAAATTTTTTTCACAATAGAGGGAGGGTGGCAGTGGGGGGGGGGGGGACTGGACCCCCCAAGGAGTGGCTTGTCCCCACCAAAACTGCCAGCGCCAGGACACATGCCTGCCTCTCCTCCCCAATGAGTGTGAGTCAGGATCACGGCAGGCTGGGAAGCGGTCCCTGAAGGAGATAAAATCTACCGCGTTATAAACATACCTTCTTTTTTCTTCCTTTAAAGGGAGTGTTTGGGTGAGTCAGTGATTTTTTGGTATTTTCTTATTTTCCAATGAAATTACACACACACTGTGCCTTCCCATCTACCAGACTCCACCCCCACATTCGCCTCCACATTCTACCAGACTCAGGAGGGCCTTGCTTTTCACCCTGCAGCCCAGCTCCCAGCGCTGACTCTGGGGCTCAGAAGCACTGATTTCAGGTTAACCGGGGAGGGTCCAGGTCAGAGACAAGGCAGAGAAACCCAAGTCCCAATGTCCCAGGTGCTCGGGGCCTTTCACCAGGAACTCTGTGCAGCAAGACCACCCTTCGTCCTGCAGACAGCACAATCTCATCTCACTTCTCTGGCTAAACCCCTGAATGCCCTCACCACAGTGCTCAGGCCACCGTTTTAAAGGTCTAGGCTTACCCTGTTGCCGTGTAAACATGAAGCTGCTCCAGGGTGAACTGGACTGTGGTTGGGCTCCTGGGCCCTTCTCTCTGCCCTACTCGCCCTTCTCCAAAGGGGAGGCCAGGGGTTCCCTTGTTGGGGGAGAGCCAGGCCATCGAACTGCCCAAGTGACAGGCAGATCAATGAACTCCTTGTAGAAAAGGGGAGGGGAAGGACTTAGCCAATCATGTATAATAAAAGGCTAATATGCAAATAGACTGAATAGCTGAACAACCGGTTACTATGACGAACACTGACCACCAGGGGGCAGATGCTCAATGTAGGAGCTGTCCCCTGGTGGTCAGTGCACCAGGAGCCAGGCTCACAGTTGGCAGGTGCAGCAGCGATGACGGCAATGCTAAAGATGTCAGTTGGGCATCCCCTGAGGGCTTCCGAACTGCGAGAGGGCGCAGGCCAGGCTGAGGGATGGCAAGTGCACCAGGCCTCTAGTATCTTACCTAATAAAAGAGTAATATGCAAATTGACTGCACCTTCACTTTGCCCAACCCACGCCCACCAGCCAATCAGGGTGCGTATGCAAATTAACCCAACCAAGATGTCAATTAATTTGCATATCAAGATAGCGTAGAAAAAAGTCAAGCACTGCAGAAGGGAGGGAAGCTGTGGAGAAGCATGCAAGTGGGGCAGGGGAGAAGGAAGGGAAACAGCAGAGCGGGGAGAAGGAAGGAAAGCAGGCAGGGCAGGGGTGGGGGGAGCACAGCAGGAAGCCCTATTGCAGGAATCTTCCTACAACAGGCTACTGGTAGAATATAGCTTTCTAGTAGTTCTCACTGAGCCAGTTTAGTGGCTACGCAGTTATCTTCTCAGTAAGGAGGAAGGTGAAGACATTAATTATCAAGGCTTCATGGTGTCTTCATAAGAATTTACGAAAACCTGAGACAGAATTGCAGGGCGTTTGCCTCTTCTAAAATATGCACTGTCTCTGCTCGTCCAGAGTCATTTCCTTGAGTCAGTTGCAAATGAATTTGCCTCACAGTGAGCTCTGTGGTGGCTCTCAGTCTGTCTTTCTCTAACATCCAGGCCAGAATTCCCATAAATATCACTCAAAGTGTATGAGTTTCCTCCTAAACGAGAGGGTCTTTACCTCTGGAAAATTAATGAGTTTACAGCACTGTACACGATGTCTGTAAAACCTAGCCAGGAAAGTAACGGGATTTATTATAAAGGGCGAGAGCACCACGCAGGCTGCTGGCCAACAAGACTTGTCTCTGCCAACTCCCATCAAGTCAGTGGGCCCAGGAAGAGTTCATCAATTTGTGTTTAAATGAAAAGTGAGAAAAATAACCCAGCACACTGAAAGAACAAAAAAGATTAAATAATCTTCCAACTTTAAAAATACACTGTTTTGAATATATTCAACTCCAACTATAGGCTGAATTCCATTTCAGCACCTTAAGGAAAAGGTGAGAGGCTTACTCCACACATTAGTACAATATACATTTCCTTATGCTGTGTAGCGTTAGTCATTAAAATAATACATATCCAGCCGCATGTTTCTCCATACAAATGGTTTTTACATAATTAAGATAAGTGTGAGTTTGGATTCTCTGTTTTAAACTTGGAATTACATCATATGCTTCTGTGATCAGAAATCCTTCATAAGCTTTCCCTGGTGCCAGGGCTCCACTAAAGTGTCGGTGAGGTCGCTGATGGTCCGCATCCTGTGAGCATTTTCCTGTCGCCGTCCCTAGTTCACCTGTCCCTGGCTTCTGGACCCCTTGGCAGTGTTTTCTTGATCCACCCTCCTCCCTGCGTTGCTGTGACTGATGGCTGGTTTCCCTCAGTCTGTCTGCCCCTGCTTTCCCTGCCCGGCCACTACCTGCTGCGGCTCCTGGAGGTGTGGCCTCTCCTCTTCTCACTTGATTTGTCTCCTCGGGTCATCTCAGGTCTCCTTGGGGCTCTGATGATAACTTGTGATGATGATTCACACATTTCACCTTCCACCCCAGACCTGTATCCCTGACAAGTGTCTCCACCTTCCCCTTGGAGGTCAACGCCTCTGTGTCCACAAATGAACCCAAGATCTCCCCCAGGCCTGGCCCTTCCAGGATCAGCAGCGGGAGAAATGGCATTATAATGATCAAGCCAGAAAGCCAGGAGTCATCCTGGACAATTCATCCCTCCTCCCCAATCTAACCAATTTGTGGCCAAATCCCTAATTGTCACCTTCTAAGGTCCCTTTCCAACCCACCCAACCTGCAGCTTCCTGGTGCAGCTGCCCACATGACATGCCTATAATGTCTGTCCTTCCCTTTGCTCCTTTCCTGTTATTAATAACCAGCTAATTACAACAGTGTCCATTTTATATTTATATTTAGGTTTCCTGGCTTTTGCTATCATAATATGCAATAAAAATAACTTTAAATATTAAATATTATTTTTTAATTATTCTGTCATTTGTTAAAAATAAAGGCTGTTGGGACCTGGCTGGGTAGCTCAGTTGGTTAGTGCAAGATCCTGATACACCCAGTCAGAACACACACAAGAATCAACTAAAGAATGCATAATAAACAACAAATTGACCTCTCTTTTCCTTCCTCTCACTAAAATTATTATTTTTTTTAAAGTTAATAAGGGAAGGAAAGAAGGAAGGAAGGAAGGAAGGAAGGAAGGAAGGAAGGAAGGAAGGAAGGAAGGAAGGAGACTATTTTTAAAATAAGTTACCTTCTTGGAATATTCAGGCTTCCCATCCTCTCCTACTTTAATACTGTTCAGGGAACATAATGAATTTTTTCATGTGAATTTCACTGTAGTTTTCCTAGGCATTTCAATTTTGTTGTTGTGACTGTGAACTGTGATTAATTTTGCCATTATTTTTTTTTATATATAAAGCAAACATTTCCTGGGGGGAATAAAAACAACTCATTTGTGTACCTAAGGTTAATGAAGTCAGGAGAGCTCTAAATGCAACTGAAAATTTTTTCTGTTTTGTTTTTTCTTTGAAGCAACAGAGTATCGTTCTCCAAGTTAAATCTTAAGCAGAACCTCATACATAAAAAATGGAAGTGTAGTTGCCTGTTTGAAAAAGAAGATTCGGGCGCCCGCTGGTTTTTCTCAGTGCAGCCCATGGACGGAAGGGTGCAGGTTCGATTCCAGTCAAGGGCTTGTACTTGGGCTGCAGGTTCAATCCCTGGACCCGGTAGGGGTGCTTTCAGGAGGCAGCCAATAGAAGTTTCTCTCTCACATCGCATGTTTCTCTCTCTCTTCCCCACCTTCCTCCCTCCCTTCCACTCTCTCTAAACATCGACGGGAGGGAAAATCCTCGAGTGATGGTTAACCAAAACAGTTTTTTAAAAAAATGGAGGATGAGGGATGGCCCAAAGCCCTGCAGGCTCTGCCTCCTGCCTCCTCCTCACTCAGTCCCTGAAGTATTTTCCAACCACTGGCTGCCTGGCTGCCTATCACTGTGGCTCCTTAGTATAACCTCGTTTACTTGTTTTGTTTTTTAACATTTCATTCCACTTCAAGGTGTTTTTCCATTTCTATTCGTGATCACTGGCATACCTGAGCTTCAGTGAGATCCTGCCTCCCTGAGCTGGGACACTCGCAGCTCCTCTCTCCTAAGTCAACAGAACAGGAAACTGAACATAGGTTTGAAGATGTGGTCAGTTTAAGAACGAACGTGATTTCTGTGATACTTTGTACTATCCTATCCGTTGTCACAAAAAAGAGAAGTGTTTCAATTCTATGACTTAGAAATATAGGGCCAATGTGCAACTAAATAAGTAGGTGGATTATATTATATGTGAATTTTACTCCAGCAGAGAATAGAGATATTAATGAAATACTGATAGATAAGGAGAAAGTATTTGTGATAGGACTAGAAGCATCTTTAAAACAAACACTCAAAAGAAAATTTGTGTTCTAAATGTCCACAACAGATTTTTTATTACTAAAATTTTTAGGATAAAGAAATTTAAAAAATAACTGTAATATTTTTAAAAGCTATTGAGTATTTCCTGTTTACAATGAGAAAAAACTTGAACCTTAAAGAACAGACTGAGTAGAGTACTGAGGGCAACAAGAGTGAAAGAAGATGGTTAGACGTGCTATATGTGTACTCATACGAGGCTTAAACACTGACTTGTTAAACAAAAAGCAAATTGTACTCATTGTCTCCAAGTTTGTGCGACTAACTATTCAATGACATCAGATGGCAATTCCTCTTACAGAAAAAAGCTTTTACTCTTAACCAGCCCATATATTACCCTCCATGGCAATTTGGAAACAGAATGATATGTAATCCAGTTTTAAAACCAATTCGGTTTCTAAGGTGTTGTCAATAAACAAAAATTTGAAGCAATATATGCAGTATTTTAAAATAACTGAGAATTATGACAACGCAAGTTACTCTCAGATATAAGACCTTAGTGGGTACACTTACCTCAGGGCCGTACAATCCACAAGGGCTATAGCCGCAAGGGGAAGAGGAAGATACTCATTCTGTACAACATGAACAGCATTCTAAGGGGGGTGTTACTAATTATAACTCAACACTGTCAGTTAAATCCTAATAATGAGTGTGCATACTCCCCCTCACGTGAACTTCTCAGAAGGAAAATAAAGGGACTGGATTCTGGAAAGAAATGGCGAGGCTATGGAACTCCAAGAGGGATGTTGGCTCCTCAGTCCCAGGACATGACTTGCATCCCCAGGTTCTGCCTTACAGTCTCCTGGGTATGAAATATAATTTGTGTAATTTGTCCTTGAAAAAGTCACGGTGGAGCCTGAGAACCTTCTGGTGCCGTCAGTTTTTGTCCTTCAGTATCCTAAATGCACATAATCTCAACATCCAGAAATATTCTTTGATTTGTTCTTCCTCTGAAATCTTGTGTCCTTGGGATCAAAGCCTCTCTCATTAGCACCAAATAAAGCCCAGTGAGGAGTTTTGGCCATATAATCCTCTGCGCTGAAAGTTTTTGATCCACCACTGTCTTCGTATTCCTGGATAAGCTCCTGGAAGCGGTCATAATCAATCCACGTCCACCATTCTCTATCAATCTTAAACTAGAAAGGAAAAAAGTAAACAGGTCAGAAATAAAAACATCCATTAAGAAAAATCAAATAAATACCAAAAAAAGTTAAAATGGGCCTGGCCTTTCATGCCCATCATGATAAAGAAAATTTTGTCATGCTGCAGATATGATTACATATCAAAGCAAAATAGTCAAAGGAGAATTTCTGTTACCTTAGGACTCTAGCCAAACTGAACCTGGAAGACCAAATTGCTGAATAAAGAATATATTCTGGAATTGAAAGTCAAGCTTATCTTGAGCAATATCAATGAAAGGTTAACTAAGTTTTTGGCATTATCAGGTGTTAATGGTCAAGTTAATTCTAATTTTTCTTGTCACTAATTTTTCTTTTATTAAAATTTCACTTTCAGTTAGTTTATATTTAATATTATTTTTTATTAGTTTCAGATGTACAAGTATATACTTTGCAAAGTGATCCTCCGATAGCTCAAATACCAACCTGGAACCATATATAGTTATTACAATGTTTTTGACTATATTTCCTATGTTTTAATTTACCTCCTCATAACTATTTTCTAATTACCAATTTGTCCCCAACTGCCCTCCCCTGCTGGCCTGGTCAACCCTAACTGTCCTCCCCTGTAGGCCTGTTCCCACCCAACTACCCTCCCCTGCAGGCTTGGTTCCCCACCCCCTAACTGCCCTACCCTGCAGGATTGGTCCCACCTCTCCCAACTGCCCTCCTCTGCTGGCCCAGTCACCCCTAAACTGCCCTTCCCTGCAGGCCTGAACACCCACAATTGCCCTCCCCTGCAGGCCTGATCGCCCACAACTGCCCTCCCCTGCAGGCCTGATTGCCCACAATTGCTCTCCCCTGCTGGCCATCTTGTGGTGGCCATCTTGTGTCCACATGGGGGTGGCCATCTTGTGAGCTACAGTGATGGTCAATTTGCATATTGCCTCTTTATTACATAGGATGATTTTTACCCTTGATTTTGTTTATGTGGTGTATCATATGAAATGATTTGCAGATTTTGAAACTTGCATCCTTTGAATAAATCCCATTTCATCATAATGTATGATTTTTTTAATATATTACTGAATTCAGTTTGCTAATATTTTGTTGAGGATATTTGCATCTATGTTCATCAGGGATACTGGCCTATAATTTCCTTTCTTTGTAATGTCTTTATCTGGTTTTTGAATCAGGATAATGCTGGCCTTGTAAAATGAGCTTAGGAGTCTTTCCTCCTCTCAAAGTTTTTGGAGAAATTTGAGGATAGATGTTAGTTCTTCTTTGAATGTTTGGTAAAATTCACCTGTGAAGTAATCCAGTCCATGACTTGTATTTCAATTTCATTGGTTGTAATCAGTCTGCTCAGAATTTCTGTTGTTTCTTGTTTTAATCTTGGAAGATTGTATGTTTCTAGAAATTTATCCATTCCTTCCAGATTTTTCAATATGTTGGCATACAATTGTTCATACTATTTTTTTATACTCCTTTGTATTCCTGTGGTGTCAGTTATCACTTCTCTTTCATTTCTGATTTTATTTGGGTCCTCTCTTTTTTTCTTGATGTGTCTGGTTAAAGGTTCATCAATCTTGTTTATCTTTTCAAAGAAGCACCTCTTGATTTCCTTGATCTTTTGTATTGTATTTTAAACTCTATTTTATTTCCAGTATAAATTTTATTTCCTTTCTGCTATTCACTTTGGGCTTAGTTTGTTGTTCTTTTACTAGTTCTTTTAGGTGTAAGGTTACATTGTTTGAGATTTTTCTTGTTTCTTAAGGTATGTCAGCATTGCTATAAATTTCCCTCTTAGAACTGATTTTGGCCGAGACCGGTTTTGCTCAATGGATAGAGCGTCGGCTTGGGGACTGAAGGGTCCCTGGTTCGATTCCGGTCAAGGGCATGTACCTTAGTTGCGGGCATATCCCCAGTAGGGGGTGTGCAAGAGGCAGCTGATCGATGACTCTCTCTCATCGATGTTTCTAACTTTCTATCTCTCTCCCTTCCTCTCTGTACAAAATCAATAAAATATATTAAAAAAAAAAAAAAAAAAGAACTGATTTTGTTGTGTTCCATAGATTTTGGTTCTTGTGTTTCATTTTCATTTGTCTCAAGGTATCTCTTTTGATATCTTCTTTGACCTCACTGTTAACCCATTTATTGTTTAGTAGCATTTTATTTAGCCTCCATGTGTTTGTATGTTTCTCTGTGGTTTTTCATCTTGTATTTAATTTCTAGTTTCATACCATTGTAGTTGAAGAAGATGCTTGATATGATTTCAATCTTCTTAAACTTATTGAGACTTTTTTGTGTCTTAACATGTGGTCTATCCTGGAAAATGTTCCATATGCATTTGAAAGGAATGTATATTCTGCTGCTTTGGGTTGAAATGCTCTGAAAATATAAATTAAATGCATCTGCTCTAATGTATCATTTAAAGCTGATGTTTACTTGTTAATCTTAATTCTGGAAGATCTATCCATTGATGTTAATGGATTGTTAAATTCACTACCATGACTGTATTATTACTGCTGATCTCTCCTTTATGTCCATCAAGCCTTGCTTTATATATTTAGGTACTCCTATGTTGAGTGCATAAATGTTTACAAGGGTTATATCCTCTTGTTGAATTACTGCTTTATCATTATGTAATGTCCTTGTCTTTTATAGTCTTTATTTTAAAGCTATTTTTTCTTATGTAAGTATTGCTATCCCAGCTTTTTGTTTCAATTTGCATGAAATATCTTTTTTTCATCCCTTTACTTTTAGTTTGTATATGTCTTTTGATCTAAAGGGAGTTTCTTGTACACAACATATACACGGGCATTTGTTTTCTTATCCATTCAGCTATCCTATGTATTTTGATTGGAGCATTTAACTCACTTACATTTAAAGTTATTATTGATAGGTATGTATTTTTTGCCATTTTATTATTAATATTTTTGTCCTCTTCTTCTTCTTAAATAGAAGTACCTTTAACATTTCTTGTAATACTAGTTTAATGGTGGTGAACCCCTTTAGCTTTTCCTTGTCTGGGAAACTCTTTATTTCTCCTTCAATTTCATATGACAGCCTTGATGGGTAGAATATTCTTGGTTGTAAGTTCTTGCTTGTCATCACTTTGAATATTTCATGCCAGTGAATATTTCTGGCATGAAAAGTTTCTGTTGCAAAACTCATCTGACAGTCTTTTGGGAGCTCCCTTATACTGTAACTCCCTCTTGAAATCACTGGATAAAATCTTTAGACAAAAAATCAGCAAAGAAACAGCAATCCTAAACGACTCACTAGATCAGATAGATTTAATTGACATCTTCAATACACTTCACCCAAAGCTTCAGAATACACAATCTTCTCAAGTGCACAAGGGACATTTTCAAATAGACCACATATTGGGACACAGGCAAAGTCTCTTCAAATTTAAGAAGATTGAATTTATATCAAGCATTTTTTCAGACTACAATGGCATAACATTAGAAACAAACTACAATAACAAAAAAAAAACAACACTCAAATACTTTGAGGTTAAATAGCATGTTATTAAATAACTAGAGGCCTAGTGCATGAAATTAGTGCATGGGGGCAAGGGTTCCCTCAACCCAGCCTGTACCCTCTCCAATCCAGGACCCCTTGGGGGATGTACAACTGCCGGTTTAGGCCCTATCCAGGAATTGGGCCTAAATTGGCAGTCAGACACCCCTCTCACAATCTGGAACTGCTGGCTCCTAACTGTTCACCTGCCTGCCTGCCTGATTGCTTCAAACTGCCCCCCCTCTTTCAGCCTGAATATCCCAAACTTCACCCCCTGCCAACATAGTTGCCCCCAACTGCCCCCCTGACTGCCTGGTCACCCCTTATTGCCCCCCTGACTGCCTGGTCACCCCCAAATGCCCCCCACCACCGGCATGGTCACCCTTCACTGGTGGGAATGCACATTTGTGCAGCCACTGTGGAAAACATTATTGAGTTTCCTCAAAATATTAAAAATGGAACTCCCATTTGTACAGTAATTCCACTTTTAGGAAAATATCCCAAGAAATCAGAAACAACAATCAGAAAGGATATATGCACCCCTATGTTCATAGCAACACAATTTACAATAGCTAAACTTAAAAACAGCCTAAATACCCATCAGCAGATGAATGCATTAAAAAATGGTGGTACATCTATACAATGGAATACTATGCTGCTGTAAAAAAGAAAGAAGTCTTAACTATTCGCAACAGCATGAATGCTAAGCAAAATGAGCCCGTCAGAGAAAGATAAATATCACATGATCTCACTCATTTGTGAAATATAATGAACAACATTAATGAACAAAAATAGATCAGAGTCCAAAGCATTGAACAGGGGAAGGCAGGGGTGGGGGTGGGGGTAAAAGATCAACCAAAGGACTTGTATGCATGTATATAAGCATAACTAATGGACACAGACCTAGGAGGGTGAGGGCATGTGCTGGGTGGCTAGGGACAGGTCAATGGGGGAAAAGGGAGATATATGTATACCATATGTAATACTTTAAACAATAAAGAATTAAAAAAAAAAAGAATGTCAATTCAATAAAGGGAAATAATCCAATTTATATTGTCTTAGAAAATTGCTTCTCAAAAGTAATCCTATATAATAAAAGCCTAATATGCTAAGTGTCTGGTCATCTGGTCATCCATTCAACCAATCAAATCATAATATGCTAAGACCTCTCAACTGCTCGCTATGACAGGCACTGACCACCAGGAGTCAGTTAGTTGACCGTTTGACCAGTTGCTATGATGTGCACTGACCACCAGGGGGCAGACGCTCCAACTGGTAGGTTAGCTTACTGCTGGGGTCTGGCCAATCGGGATTGAGCGAGACAGACCAGACATGCCCTGGAGCCTTCCAGTGGTTCCTCCCTGGTTGGCCAACATTGTGCACCGATGAGGTCCCTCGGCCTGGCCTGCACCCTCTCGCAATTCAGGACCCTTCAGGGGATGTCGAAGAGCTGGTTTCGGCCCAATCTCACAGGCCAGGCCAAGGGACCC